CTTAAGTGATTTTAGACTAATTATCTTGGGAGAAACTAAGTAAGAAAGTTGTAAATGTAAAATAAAGAAAAAACTATTATATGTCATACAAAGATCCTTGAGATCTAGTTGTTGTGTACCCCTTTTCTGTGCAGTTAATTGGATGGGTTCCCTGCCAAGAAGGTTAAAACTTAAAATGCTTGTTTAACAAATTTAACAGTTTATGTTCTCTTTTTCTGGCTCAATTTGTTGACCAGAGTTCAATACTGGCCTCCATCCCAATTTGTTGCTGGGGACTTAGTAAATTAGTAATGAATTATAGTAAATTCATTAGTTAAATCAAAGAAAGCAATTTCATGCTTTCTAAAGACTGAAGACAGGTTGTGTTTTCTGATCATAGTTTTATTGAGCAAGTGCCTCAAAAAAAGAAAACATTAATCCCCACTGGGGAACATAGATTTTTTTTCTGTTTTAAATTTTATGTTATTTATATTATTTGATATAATATTTTAGGTAGTCCAAAAGAAATCATATTTAAAATGTTATACTAGTTTTAGTGTAATTTATTGAATAATTCTACAACCTTTGTGAAATGAAGTATTTGCATATATTCATAATTTTTGGTAGGGGTCAATTTATTCCAATAACTTCATGATTGCATTGTTTCAGTATTCAGAGGGCATTATTGCATTATTTCAGTATTCAAAATTAAAACATAATTTTACAAGATAACTTTTCTCTATAATAGAAAGACTGATTAAACTTGACTGATTTAAAAAAAAACAAATTTGCAAAGAAGTTATTCTTTCCTTCTTTCTAACATATTCCTGTCTTTTGTGTCATTAGAACAAGCCAATAATTTCCTTTTTCTACTTCTGAACATTTTAAAGATATCTACTGGAAAAGCACATCATTGCATATTTTACAAAATTGGTTTAAAATGTCTCTTGCTACTGACTTTCCAAAAAATATCTTGGATATCATAGCACATTATCAGGGACCTATCTAAAGACAAAATTCTGTGACCCTTAAAAAGGTATAATTAAAAAAAATTACTTCATTGGTGCGCCTTCTTGAAAGCAAGAGTCTATTCACTCAGACTTAATTTTTTTTTTTCCATTAAAGGTACTATGGCAACAGAAAGAACATAGATTTATCTTTGAACAAAAGACAGGACTAGGGGCCTCCCTGGTGGCCAATGGGTTAAGTCTCAGCTCTTTCACCTCTATGGCCTAAGTAAGATCCCCAACCAGGTTGCTAAACCATATGGCATAGCAGGCCTCTCCTGTCTGGCCAGCTGCTCCCCTTAGAAGTGTATTTCAGTAGATCTGCCTGTTCTGCTCCCCACTCTGTCTCTGGTGAATCCTCTCATGCTCCTCCCCATCCCCCACACTTCTGATATAGACCCCAGTTCTTCTAGGCAAAAATAAAAATTAATTAATTAATTTAAAAAAAAAAGAAGAAGATAGGACTACAGGGTGAACATCTTCCTGCCAAGGAAAGCTGTGCAGTCTTAACCTCCCTGGGCTCCTGCTTTAGTTGTGTGCAACCAAGTCAAAGATGCTTAATCTTGCTTTGTGCTCAATACAGTTGAATGATACAAAAATATTGTTTTTATCTTGTTAGTATAACTGCCGATTTTTTTTGTTTTTTAAAAATTATTTATTTATTTTATTTTTGTTTGTTTATTTTGTAGAAGAAGTGGGATGTTGGCCAGAGGTGGGGGCGTGAGAGGACTCAACAGAGACAGAGTGGGGAACAAAACAGGCAATCTGACTGAAATACACTGCTAAGGGGAGCAGCCAGCGAGGCAAGAGAGGTAGGCTGTGCCATGTGGGTCAATTCCCAGGCCCGGATCAAACTCATGCCATAGTTATAATAGCGCTGAGACAAACCCTGGGCCACGAGGGAGGCCCCCAATATAACTAATATTTTTAATAAGTGAATCTAGAACTTATTACTAGAATTTTTATCGCCTGATTTGCAACAAAGAAGTGCATGTGTGGTGATTCAGTAATATTATAAATAGCATACTAGAGATATGGCAGCAGGAAGAAACTGCCCAATGGATAGTGAATCACAACACCCTTCCTAACAGGTTGGGAATGGATCTGTGTGTGTGTTCAGGGGTGAGGGTGGAGAAAAGGGCAAAAAAGTGGCAAACGACTAAGAGAGTGCAATTGCTAGCAGCTCCATTTATAACTTGATATATTGGCCTGTCTTCTATACTGAAAAAGATCTCCCTGCTGGATTTTAAATGAAAATAAAATTGTTATTTTATTAATAAAATTTATTTTGTCTGTGGAGAGGAAAATTGTTGGGGAAGCAGGGATTTGTGAAATTTATGTAGTATTTTACTCACTTTCTGTAAATAAAATAATCTGATGTCTTGAAGGATGAGCACTGAAGTAATTATCTTGGTAGCTATGTAACTAGGTTATTCCAAACCCTTGAGGGCTCTGAAGAGGCTTAAAGAATGAATCAGCCACACTGATTATTCTTGCCACATTTAAGGCTGCTTGTCATATAAGGCAGTATGGAAAGTGATGTCAAAAGGAAACCTGACGATTTTCTCTCTAAGAATAAAAGACTGTTGGCACATACATAAAATGTGATAAAAAGGGGAGAGAGAATTGATGTGTAATTGGGTAGGAATCAGAAGGGGAAAATGTGAGGGGGAAAAAAAACAGAATAGAGAGCTAATAAGTAATGATTCAATGGATGAAGGGACACTAGAGTTGTTGATACTATTAGTGCACTAATAAAAATTTCAACAGCTTTTATGTACAGCAATAAAAGTGAAGAGGATGGTCAGAATATGTTTGGGAGCGACAGTGGTTTCTTTTGGAATCACAGTTATATTAGAATTGGTGGTACAACATGACACAATGGGCATATCTGCCATCAGAATATTATTCCTGCCATAGATTTCATTAGAAAGAAGATCTTTCCACTTAGTGTAGTCAGCAGACACCTGAATTGTGAGTAGTTCTAATTATAGTACTGTGACAAAAGTCATAGGCATATTCTGGGATATTTCTCTTAATGGGGTTGAAGATAACAATTTGTAAATGTATGATTAAAGAGATCCACGGTTGCTTCCAATTAGAACACAGGGTGTCATTAAACAACCAAAGCTAGTATTTGAATTCAATTTAAATGTTTCAGATAATATTCTGGAATAAAGGGAATGATAGTACATCATAAATATTCAAAATTGTCAGCTAGTCTTTGTTTCTTGTATTTATATTTAGAACGATGACATTCCAAGTGTTTTCCCTTCTTAGTGTATATAGTCCTCTGTGGTGATAAATAATCGATTGGTAGGTATAAATGACAAAGCATGCAGCTACAGCCATCCTCATCACCTGGAGCCCCTGACAATTTTGACATACAGACTTTGCTCCTTGTCACGTATTCACATTCAGCCTCTCATGTGCACTAGAGTGTGTAATGACATCCTAAATTTCTAGAAAGGTATTCTGTAAATAAGCACACTTAAATCTTTAAGACGCAATATGAAGTTAATACTTCTGATAGAAGACAAATATAAAGCCAAATCTTATATTTTAATATATAATTCTAAATGCTGTTAGAAATTTTAACTATTAAACTAGGTTAACTAAATTAACCTTCTTAAAGACAAGGCACAAATATATTTTACCAATGTGAGTATAAATGTGTACCTCATGAAAGTCAGAAATCATTTGAAATAAAGTACCATATTTGGATTTTTAGAATATGCTAATTTGTTTCCAAATATTTTGCTTAAAAGTTTATATTAGAGGAGTTTAAATACAGTGTATCTTGGGCCCCCCTGGTGGCACAAGGGGTTAAGATGCAACCTGTGAAGCTGTCCACAGCCTCTGCATCACATGTTTGATCCCTGGCCAACCAGGAAGCAACCCACATGACACAGCAGACCTCACCAGACTCGCCCGCTGTTCCCCTCAGCAGTATACTTCTGTTGGGCTGCCTGTTCTGTTCCCCACTCTGTCTCTGGTGAATCCTCTCACTCCCTGCGCCTCTGGCTTGTACCCCAGCTCTTGTATGTATAAATAAATAAATCTTTAAAAAAAATACAGTATATCTCCATGCTACCCTGTAAAAATGTTTTGGATTTATATATAATCTCTGAAATTCAGTCCAGTGAATTTGCCTACAGATTCTGATTGAAGGGACTAGAAGAACCATATATAATATTCCTAACTAAACTGCAAGCTTCCTAGAGCTTTTGTATTACAATTTTCTTTTTCTTAATGTGAGTCATAATGGTTTCTCCACACTCGCATTAATTTTTAATCACAGTCTTTTACACTGCTGATTGAATTCCCCACCACTGCTAATGGGTTTCTTGTAATATTAATTCATTTAAAATGTATGCTGATGCCATATCTTATTTTTCAAAGGAAACCTGTTTAAAATGAAAAGCAAGATAATATTCACATGGATGTTAGGCCATAGTAAGTTACCATGTGTTTGATCAGCTTTGTTCTCAGAAATGCTTAAAATCTCAGTTGAAAAAAACTGCTCCATTAAGATATTTTTTTAAAGAGGAATTATTCATGCCTTATTTGTAAATTCTTTAAAATTGAATTGTAGTCATAGGCATATTATATCAAATAAATAAACTGGAACAAAACTGAAGTGCAGTCTTATTTTTACACAGACTCACTTCTAAAATCTCAGGTTGCTTCATTTAAAAATACAGTTAAGATTTCTGATATTTTAATAAGGCATGCCTCAATAGCGTTTAGTTAGGAACAAGTAAGATGTAGGTCAGATCCCCATCTACTCATTATATAAAACTAACATAAAAATGCAGAGAGAAGTTAAAGGATATCTTATGAGATTATAGGTTACTAGAATAATAGCTACCACGTTTGGAAGCTCTAGAAAGGTAGCATTCTTAATAGCTACTTGGCTCAGAAGCGTTTCTTTTCTTTACTGAAATCTGTTGCTAATTTTCAGAGGTGTTTTTTTGCTTCTATTTGTTATTTGAAATTAATATTGGAATGTACCTTTTAACTGACACTTTGCTCCACTGAATCCAGGACAACACTTCCATTCCAATGAGGTAACGATTTTGTGTTGCATCCTGTAAACAGGATTTGATATCTTCTGAGTTCTAGAGAGGAGAGCAATTGGGGGAAAACAGATTATTGTGTCACATTAAATTACCAGATGGAATGATAAATGTAAAGTACTTGGGACAGTGTCTGAAATACAGAGTTAAGTAAATAATATCTGTTGTTGTTATTATCATCTTCAATATTATCGTCAAGCTTATTTTTCTTTAAATACATTATGAAAACATTAGGTATTATACTGTTTCTTTGTATTTATACTTCTTCTTACATTTTCTAATGATTCTATAGCTTTTCCCTTTGTAGTACTTCCACTAAGTCAGTGTTAAATTTTGTTTTATTCCAATTTTCAAATAGTTTATAGAGGTAACTTATTTTATTTCCATTCTTATCATTTGTATATCTTTATATTAAAGATCTGTTTTTCCTCCAGATCAATACCAAACAATTTAAAATAAATTGGATATTAGTGATCTAATTTAAATTAAGGTAATCATTATCATTTCCAGCTTGTACTTTCTTATTTCCCAAATTTTAAAATTATAGTCTCTGTTATTTTTCTCATATAGCATTTCTCTGAGCAGGGGGTTTACTTGAGAAAATGTTATTTCTGAGAAGAAACCCCAGAAGGGAAATAAAAAAGTGATATTTCCACAGAAAAATCAGTATAAAAACTAAATGGTATTCATGAATACATCCTGGCTGTATTACTCTTATCCCTGTGACTTCAATATACAGCTAATATGTATCAAATGAGTCTGTGAAGTAAGTAGACATTCTTTTGTTTAATCCTCATATTAGTTTCATGAGGAGAGTGTTATTATCCTGATTTGCTGAGGATGAGCCTGAGGAATAGAGAGATGACATATCTTGCACAAAGCCATGTAACTAAGTGTAACAGAGCCTGGATTTTAATGTATACAGTGTGAGTTAGCATCTTCTGTTATTATTTTAGATGCTACATACACTTATGTGGAGAAAATAGTGATAGCTTAATTACCAAATAGTAATTATATAGACAAAATGCATTACAACAGATTAGGTTTTAGGAAACTTAGGTTTCAATTTCTGCTTTAACCTGATAGATAATTCAATATGTGTGAAGTTATTCCTCAATTTAAAAATGTATACCTGGTCTTGGAGAAAGTGCCATCATCCCCCCAGCCACCATGGCTTTTGCAGTCAGCTCCCCAACACTCTGAGCAGTTCCAGGTGAATTGGACCAACCCAGGCTCAAAAAGGAGGAAGCAGGAGGAATCCACAGCATCCCCAGGCACAACCACTGTGTACCTCATTCAAAGTCAAATGAGAAGGTCCTGATAAGAGCCCAGGCCAGCTTAGGAAAACAGAAGCCATATCCATGGCTGAGCAATACAAAAACTAACATGGGAAGAAGGGAAAGCGCAGAAAACAACCACCAAGCCCAGGGGAACATAATACCACAGAAAGAACAAACCATAAGAACCAAAACAAAAAGAAATGGAAGAGATAGTCTTTCTATCCGATGTAGGATTCAAAATTGCCATGACAAGGAAAATAAAGGCATGGGAATAGTACAAAGAAAATGCAGAAAGACCAATAAATTTCATGAGAATGAGATCAACAAAAAAAGACCCAAATTGAAGTTCTGAGAAAAGAAATGAAGATTCAGGGCATAAAAAGAACATATGAGGAGGCAGAAATACAAGAGGAAGCTGTGGAAGTAGAATAAACCAAATGGAAAATGAATCAATGTACTTGAAGATGTGAATGGACAAAGAATCCAGATAGAAAACTAAAAGAGAAACAAAACAAAATAAATGAAGAATTACCCTGAGAATTAGCTGACTTCATAAAGAAAGGAAAAATAAGAATAATGTGGATACTAGAGGGAAGAGAGAGAGCGAGAAGGGAACAATAAATATATTTAGAGAAATAATGGAGGAAAACTTCCTGAACCTAGAGAAGGAAATAAATATACAAATCCAGGAAGTTAAAAGAACCCCAGGATATCTAAACAAAACAAGACACACAAGATATTTAGTAATAAAACTCTCAAGAGTTCAAGACAAAGAATCTGAAGCTGGCAAGGGGGAAGTAAGTAAATAAAGTTACCATGATCACGCTAACATCAGAATTCTCTGAAGAAATACTTTGGGCAAGGAGAGTAAGGAATGATGTGTTCCAGATACTTAAAAATAAAAACTGCCAGCCAAGAATACTATATCCTGCAGGAAACTTCTTCAAATATTAGGAAGACATAAAGATTTTACAGACAAACAAAAACTGAAGGGATTTGCAAACACTAACCCTTGCCCCCAAGAAATACTTAAAGTTTTTATATTTAACTTAAAGAAAGGAAGAAACATACATAAAGAAGTAAACAAAGAAATAAGTAGAACCAAAAAAAAAAAACCCTAAAGATAAAACGACAGCAACAGATTTTCATACATCAATAATCATACTAAATGTAAATGAACTGAACTCACCAATTAAAAGACACAGGGTATCCAGATGTCTCAAAGAATGAAACTACACTAATGTCCCATACCACATGCAAATTTAACTCAAAGCAGATAAAAGACTTGAATATAACTCCTGAAACCCTAAAATATATGAAAAAGAACATAGGCAAAATACTCCATGACATAAATTTTAAAAACATCTTTTTTATTATCAATTTTTAATTTTTTATTCTATATAATATATATTTTATACATATATATTTTACATCATTCTTCTTTTTTGTACAATGTATGCTTTCTCTTCTCAGTTGTAGTCCCTATAAAATTCCCACCACCAATTCACCTGTGCACCATCACCCTCCCTTTGTTCCACCACCCCTTTGTTATTTCCTCCCCTATTTTGACCCCTCTTGTCTCTCTCCCCTGCAGAGTGTCTTTGATTAATAGTTGCCTATTAATTTTGTTTTTTAATTTATTATGATTAATTTTTCCTAATTCCTTATTTGGTTCTTCTATATTCCTCCTATAAGTGAAATCAGCTGATAGTTTTCTTTTTCTTTCTGGCTTATTTCACTGAGCATAATCTCTTCCAGCTCCACCCATGTTGTTGCAAATGGCATGACTTGATCTTTTTTGATTGCTGAATAGTATTCCATTATGTATATATGCCACATCTTCTTGGTCCATTTATTTATGGGCATTTTGGTTGTTTTCATATCTTACTTATTGGAAATAGTGTTGCAATAAATATCAGGGTGCAGGTATCTTTTTGAATTAATGGTTTTGTATACTTTGGGTTGATTCCTAGGAGTAGAATCGCTGGGTCATATGGAAGCTCCATTTATGGTAGTTTGAGGAACTTCCACACAGCTTTCCATAGCGGTTGGACTAGTTTGGATTCCCACCATGAGTGCAGGAGAGTTCCTTTTTTTCTACATCCTCATCAACATTTGTTGTTTCCTGTTTTTTTTAATATGTGCCATTCTCACTGGTGTAAGGTGATATCTCTTTGAGGACACATCTCCAGAAGCAAGGAAAATGAGGAAAAGATAAACAGCTGGAGCTACATCAACATAAAAAGCTTCTGGGTCCTGCCTGATAGCATAGTAGTTAAGTCTCAACATTATCACTGCTGTAGTCTGAGTTCAATCTCTGGCCAGGCAGCTAACCCACATATGGTACAGCAGACCTCTCCTGTCTCACCTGTTGCTCCCCTTAACAGTCTATTTCAGAAAATGTGCCTATTTTGTTCCTTACTCTGTCTCTGGTGAATCCTCTCATCCCTCACACCTCTGGCCTACATCCCATATCTTCTATGCATAAATAAATATATATTTAGAATAATTAAAATAAAAGTTTCTGTACAACAAATAAGATAGTAACCAAAATGAAGATATATCCTATTATCTTCCGGAATGGGAAAAAAATATTTACATACCATAAAATGATAAGGGACTAATATCAAAGAATACAAAGAACTTAAACAACTCAACAAAAACAAAGCAAACAACCTAAAAAAATGGGTAGAATAGCTAAAACAACACTTTTCCAAGAAAAAAATATGAATGGCCAACAGATATATGAAAAAATGTTCAACATCATTAATTATCAGGGACATGCAAATTAAAACAATAATGAGAAACCACTTCACACCATTGAGAATGACACATATTAAAAAACTGAAAACAACAAATGCTAATGAGCATGTGGAGAAAAAGGAACACTTTTACACTGCTGGTGGGAATATAAACTGGTCCAGCCACTATGGAAAATTGTTGGAGGTACCCCAAACACTAAAAATTGATCAATTATATGACCCAGTGATTCCACAACTAGGAATCTACTCAAAGAACACAAAAACATTAATTCAAAAGGAAATCTTCACTCTTCTGTTAATTTGAACACTATTTATAATAGCTATCATAGGGAAACAACCTAAATGTACCAAAACAGATGAATGGATCAAAAAGTTGGGGTACATATACACAATGGAATACTTTTCAGTGATCAAAAAAAAGATAAACTCAAGCCTTTTATAACATGTACAGAGCTGGAAGGGATTATGCTAAGCCAAATAAGTCAGAAGAAAAAAGATAAATATTGGATTTTTTCACTTATATGTGGAATATAGTGAAACCAAGCAAAAGGTCAAGAAAAAGATAAATGTGCAAGCTGACCATAAATATGAGGTATAAAGCAAAGAAGGGAGAGGGAAAGGAGGTCAAAAAAGGGCAGGAAAGAGCACAAGGGACCATGGTGACAGCTGACTGGTGATAAGGTGATAGGAGAACTGTGGTGACTACGCCTGAGGGGAGAAACCAAATACAGTACAAAAATGAACAATGATTTAAGATAATAAGAAAGAAACAGAACCCAACTTTCTGTTTCCTCTAGGAAATGCAACTGAGCTTCAAAGATAAACATAAACAGAGTGAAGTGTTGGAAAGCAATCCCACAAGTAAATGGGACTCAAAAGAAGGCAGGAATAATATTTATATCACACAAAATAGATTTCTAGCTAAAAAAAAAAGTAATGTGGATAGTGAAGGACACTATTTCATGATTAAGGGAACATTATCAGGAAGACATAACAGTAA